GGTGATGAATTAATTAATGCACTTTATCAAGTATGCGTACCTTTTGGAATGGAAGTTGAATATCCAAATGTGTAAGTCATTTATATTCATTTGTTGTTTTTTATTGGCATAAGTCTGATGATTCACTGACAGTATCAAAGTATGGTTTTATCAGACAAGTCCTGGTCCGAAAGTATTGACACCAAGGACTGTATAATTGAGTTTACTGCAACTTTATCAATACATCAAGAAATATATTTTTCTTAAATAGAGATTTTTTTCTTTGGAATGTTTAGATTTGTAGAAACGTCTGATTGCACATTCCTTTTTCATTAGATGGTTCCATTTAAATTCAATACAGCTCGCTCCATATATCAATTTCCATCAATTAATTCCGAATGACTCTCACAATACCTATCCCAGCATCTATCGTCTAGAAAGATCTCATTCAGTGCAAATGCATAGAAATAATCAGAGCAGTCCAGATGGAAGAAAATCTGCTTTAGACAAACATTGTAGAAGTGACAGAGTTCCAATTGTTGATTTTGCATGAATATGAGACAACGACAACTAAGCCAGGTAAACGAGTGCAAGACCGTAACTAAAAACCAGATCATGTCTTAACTTAGGAGAAGTACATCGAATTAATTGAAATTTCTAGATGACATTATATTCTTTTATTTATCGTTCATCCACATTCTAGCTTTTGTGTTATCTAATATCTGAAGTATTTATATTGTATTCATTTTTGTCTCTTTTTTTTATAATAGAATTCAATTACCAAATGATCGACCTGAAACATATTTAAGTGCATTACCAGAAAAAATTCAAAAAAATACCGATCTTGTTCTTTGTATATTACCTAATAATCGTAAAGATCGATATGATGCTCTAAAAAAATACATGTGTCTTGATAATCCAGTACCTTCTCAAGTGAAATTTTATTTTCAATAGCTTTTTTGTTTAATAATTTCTTTTTGTGATTAGATGGTTTTAGCAAAAACAATATCCAAAAAAAATCAATTAATGTCTGTTGCTACTAAAATTGGTATTCAATTAAATGCAAAACTCGGTGGCGAAATTTGGGGTGTAACTATACCCGTAAATAAAATATTATTTTAAATATATTATAAATTCATTTATATTTGAATTTGTAGTCGAAAACATTAATGGTTATTGGCATGGATTCATATCATGATTCAAAAAGAAAAGGTTAATTTACTATTTTTATATATTCAACAAAATCAGATCTCAAATACTATAGACACTCTAGATCTGATTATTCGTATGCACATAATCCACTAATAGTGTAGATTAGAGCTCCTGATTTGCTTAAATACAACGGGAATCCTAGTAGATGGCGATCGATAGCACTTATTTTGCCTTTGAACTTTATGCTTCTGAAAAGATAGTCGGTTCCTCTTTTTTTACGGCTATGTTTCAGCTATCCACACTATTAATTTCATTTAAACCCATTAATCCTTGCTAAAATGTTAGGCATTTTACCGTGACTCTTTGAGAGACAAAAAGCCGTCTGATGCTCTATTCAGACCATCAATCACTAATACCTCAATGAATCTAGCTGAATGTTTTAATGAAGCATTGCTTATAATTGAACATTATTGTGTGCAAGCCCCAGTAACGAGTAATTTTCTAAAGAAAAATGGCATGCTAATCATCATCGAGTTAGTGAGAAGAACTTAGAGACAACAATCTTGCAGCAAGTTATATGATCTTTTGAGTGACGAAAAATCATGACCTATATTCGTAATGGAATATGTGTATACAAATTTTCAGATCTCTTGTATGTATGGAAGTTTAGATCTACTCGAGAATACCTTTGACTACTACCATGACTGTCTTTTTAGGCGCTAGTGTAGGCGCATTTGTTGCTTCAACCAATGTCACATGTACTCGTTTCTATTCACGAGTTATTTATAATCGTACAGCACAAGAATTAATGGATGGTTTACAACAATGCATGCGAGGTGAAATAATTTATTTTAATAAATTATAACCAATCATTTGATTTAGATTCACTAAAGGAATATCATCGAGTGAATAATACATTACCGGAAAAAAGTAGCAAAAATGAAATAAAAATTATGAAAAAAGAATGTTTTATTTTTGTTTTTATTTAGTTGTACTTTATCGAGATGGTGTCTCAGATGGTCAATTGGCTATTGTTGCTGAACATGAATTACCACAAATTATTGATACATTTCCTAAAATAATGCCTGGATATCAGTAAATTAAACTTTAAAAATGAATAAAAATTGCTTAAAATAAATATTTTAGACCGAAACTTGCTGTTGTTATTGTTAAAAAGAAAGGTAATGCTCGATTTTTTGCTAAAATGGGTAGTACATCAATGAGTAATCCTCCACCGGGTACCATTATTGATCATACAGTTACAAATGGTAAGTTCGTTCATTTTTTTTTTCATGAATTAGAATTTTCTTTCTTTAGCTGAATGGTATGATTTTTATTTAATTTCGCAATGTGCTCGACAAGGAACAGTTTCACCAACACATTACAATATTATATGGGATCGAACAAAGTCAAATGCCTTTTTTATAGAATATTAAAATATGCATATTGGTTTTTCTTCTTTTAGTTTCAAAGTGGATCATATGCAACGTCTTACTTTTAAACTTACTCATTTATATTATAAGTTAGTTTATGTTTTGTTTCTTGTTGCTTAATTAAAATTTTTGATATCTTTTTAATTCTAGTTGGCCAGGAACAATTCGTGTACCAGCTGTCTGTCAATATGCTCATAAATTAGCATTTCTTGTTGGTCAAAGTTTACATCAAGATTTTAATCCTGAACTTGCTGATCGTCTTTTCTATTTGTAATTGATAAAAAATTTATGTTTTTTCTCTTTTTTTGTTTACATTTCGAAAATTTTCTAGTGCTTTTTTTTATGAATATGTGCGCTTATTTGCCACTTTTCTATTATTTTGTTTTTCATCACTTTAGTTTTTTTTGCACTAATTTTATGGTGCATTTGTTCTGATTTTTGTTTTTTCCTTTCAAAGAGTCGTTCTATTGAAAGTATTTTTTTTAGAATATTTTTTTTTCTTTCCAAGATCTATGAAACTTTGAATTTTTCATTATATTTTTATACATAAAATCTTTTTGTGCTAGTTTTTTTTCTACGAAGTAGAATTTTTTTCTAGTGTCTAAGTGTTGTAGTTTTTTTCTGTAGTTAAACAACTTTTTTGTGAATATATTCACCACGATACGTATGTGCATATACGTGGTTGATATTAAGGTTATTTTATTTTATTTATGAAATAATAAGAAAATAAGATCAAAATGAACTTTTTATGTACCCAGCACGCATTATTACTGGAGGAAAATGATAAATGTACACAGTTACAAAACATTTTTCGAAGTTCGGATCAATAGAATGTAATATGCCATACATGCACAATACTAAAGGTGAAATCAATGATCAAAACAAGTTCATAAATTATGCAACATCTTGAAAATCAACTGAGCTTCAATGACTAACAAGGAAAATCTTTCAACTTTTGAGTCAACACTGTGTATATTGTCCCTATCTAAATCAGCTATGAATGCCCTCAAAACAGTTTATGTTATTAGTTTATTGCCGTGAAGATATTACACTTTTTCGGTAATTTTTAAATGAATGTAGAAACACTAGAAAAACTAATTTTCGAATTTCAACTTGAAACTTTGGATAAAGATAGGGCCTTAACAAGAATAGTTGTAGATCTTGTAATTGTTTCTATCCTAAGATACAACTATAGTAATAGCGTATCTTTTACTTTGCTGATATAGATCGGAAGATTAATGTCTATATTTCAAAATAGGAGCAAGTTTTAATACCTGAAACTTTTACAATAAACTCTCTTGTTAAAGTCTGCCTCTATGCAAGGCCTCAAGCCAAATTTTGGAGCTCAGTTTGCTTGGTGTTCCCGAAGCATATTAGTTTGAGTTAATTGTAAATAAGACTGTCCAGTAGTGATGCCAAGATATTTCATCGTACCGAACTTCATTATCAGAAATATTTATATCAAATAAATTCAAAGTAATAGCTCGTGACACACACATTGATAGTAGACTTGAAACAGCTAAAAATTTTGAGAAAATAGTTTTCACATGCTCTTGAAGTATGAAATTTTTCCTTTTTTCCTCTTTGTAGGAACCACAGCATTCATTTATAAAATACTATAAAAGTGTGTTATCTCTACAGCAATAAGCCAAGAACTTGAAATCTATTCAGGATAATCATATTTCATTTGGTCTACATAATGAGCATATGATTTTAATAGTTAAAATATTTTTTTGCGAATAAGTATTTCACTAATGTTTTTTGCATTCCAACCGATCATGAAATCTCTATACAGTTATCACGCTATATATACGTTACTACCCAAATAAAAGAAATACCTTTTTAGGTATGCTTTGATTTGCTAGATTGCAAATGATACTTGCTACCGATCGAATATACACTCTAAATAGTTCTTTATCATAACATATAACCATCCGACAAAACTTAACAAAATTGTCAATTTTTTGTAGTTTTATTGGTTTAAACATACAACAACCAATATGTTATATATTTCTCTAAAAACTGAATCAATCGAAAAGTATAATCAATCATTGACATTTCTAAACCCATTTAGCATGAGAAAATTCACATTAACATCAGTATTTTAGTTCTTAAACAATTACAATTATTTCAAAGCGTATGAACTTCGATCTTGGTCTAAACTTCTTAAAGCTCGAAAAGATCATAGATTGATCTAACTAAGCACATAAAACACACACACATCAAATCAGTTATCTTATAACTTTGACATCTTCTATGTCTTTAAATATTATCACATTATGTGTGAAAAGAAACAAACAAAATTATTGTCTAAGCATTTATATAAATGCTATGAATTACAAGAAGAAGTTGAATTTTTATTGTTGATAAACAACCAATATTCTAATCCTATATAGGACTCAACAGAAAAAAGAACATTTATATGATACATATCCATTTAATTGTTTCTAACTCTGATTTTATCGAATTCGTTGTCAAACAGATAAGTAGAAGTTGTTCGTTTGAATTTTTGCCCAGATGATCCTATTTTTCTATGGATAACATGTAATAGTTCAAATTCTTCTACGAACAATGCCGTATTGAATAGAATTTGCTTGTTAAAATTTCCTGTGTGACACTATTTCAATTATCTTCGCATACTATTATTATAATCGAATCTTAAGGAGGCATTCTTCCTCTTATTAAAAACGCATCTTACGTAATTATAACAGCACATCTTTATTAGCGTTTTTTGTTTTGATAATTACGTGAATGCCATTTTTATTCATGAAACATGGCAAAATAGATGCATCAATACTGTCAGCGACTTGATAATCTTTTTCAAAAGATCTATCAAGAACAAACCAACAAGAATATAATATACTTTTATAATCGACATCTTTTCTATTCTTAACCCTTCGACGATGTCCTCATTTTTTAACTTCATCGATGTCCTAGGGTCTGCCTGGACCCATGTATAGAAAATTTGAAAAAACCAATACTTTTGTTTTATCTTAGCAATTCATTTGTGTACTGTAAGTCTTTACATATTCTGCTTATGGACGTTTATGCATCAGCTTTCATGGAAACCGTATAAAGATAAACAATGCAGCAAAAAACTTGCGTGAAACTGTTTTTATAACAATATTCAAATATAAGTCCAAAAACGGTGTACTCAATCACTTTAGCCTCCTAGGGTGTGGGTGTGGTTGAAGAGGAACGACTTGAATCCTCACCCCACACCCACCCTTCACACTATATATGGAAAAAATGTGATAATTACTATTAATCATGAACATAAAATGACTCATAACAAATATATTTGAAGAAACAATAGGGAAGCAAGAGATGGCAGCCACAGTAAGACGAAAAATTACATCTATAACACCGTGGTTGTTATAGGGTCCAACTGGACCCATACCTGTAATTTTTCCTGCTTAGATCTATATATAGTTTCTCGTGTGCATATTATGCAGCTACTAAAGACTAGAGATTATAGAATAGGATTGATCTGAAACACCAAATGGTAACGTTGTATTATACGCAAAACTGTCAGGTGGGTCCACTTGGATCCCACAACATCGTCGATGGGTTAATACTGAAAACGATTGGTTGAATGGCAAAGTACTGTTTGGCATGATTTAATTGTTTCATTACTAAATAAAAATATAGAATTATATAATATATGTTGGTATTCTCTTTGTTTTATATTGATTACTTGTAATTGAGATAATCATTATCTAAAGTCGAATTATTTTATTAAAGTTCAATAAGAAAAAAAGAAGACCGATAAAACATCTGTACTATTTATTCAATGATCACAGGAACATTTAAAGTATTCATTCGAAAATATTCGAGAAGCTAGTGTATCACCTCTACCACAATCATAATCACTATCGCATACCCTACTATTACGGAAAAAAAACATTCATGTAAATTTTCGAATTCTATTGAATATTATTTTCAAAATATTCTTGTGAAATACATCGATCATTCGAGCATCGAAATTCATTCTCACTATATTCACGATAAACTGAAAAAATAAATCGAATAAACGAACTATCCAATTTTGATACGTTTCAAGCATCCTTATTTCGTTTGCTCTACCCAGACTTCAAAATGTTGACCCAAGCTTGCAAACTTCTCTCAACAAGGAGACAAGAAAGTTCCAAGAACTAAGATAAAGTTGGTTAGATTTTTGGAACAACAATCTGAAAGTATAGCGGTGCAACCGTGGATATGGGTAACTTCAAATATTTATTCGGTATAGATAGATAAATAACGACAAATGTTAGAATGGTAGAGGCTAAATTTTTTCACAAACTAATTCGTTTCAATATTGTTAGTAAATATATGGCAAATTTTTCAATATTAAATAATAATTTACTTACGTAAATCTAGATTCCATGTTATAATCATAATTGCTGACATAAACTAAAATGATATATTCTGCTTTTAATCAAAGTTAAACTCGAAAAGAACTTCAACATATAACAAACTACGTGTTTTATTGAAATAGATGTTTAATCAAGATATTGGAAGAAAAGAAAACTTTCTAGGCTGAAAAAAATTGTATTTCGAGTTTTTCGATTCTCTAGTGAGATGGAGAAGAAATGTTACTTGTGAAGATTTGTAGAGCAAGTTGCATTTGATCGAGGGCTACAAAGTGAAATAAAAGCTTTTATGGCAATTGATTTTTGACCAAGATATATGGGCAACATACTGGAAAACGGAGAAAACTTTAGATGATAAAAATACTGTAATTTGACATTTTCGCTTCTGTATTGTAGTCAAGGAGACATATCATATATATATATATATATAGGTTTGTAGAAGAAGTCAAGATCTATTAAATCAATTGTAAGTATAAAATATTTTCTAGAAAACAAATCACAAACATGAGTACGATTTCGCACTGAAAATTGGCAAAATATCATTGTTTTATCCGTCTGGGAGGGAGCATGGGACTTTTTGCCCTCCCGGAGACTGCGTTTGCCTCCTGAAGAAAAGTGAAATAAGTTTAAAAACAAAATCAATATTTTTTTTTATAAAACTGTTGTTTATGGGAGACTTTTGGAGACATTGTTCATAAATATAATCTTAAAAAATAACAAAGTCATTTTCTTTAATGCAATCTGACTATCATATGTCATTAATTTCAGTCAGATGAATCAGCAATATGAATTACATAATACAATTTTATATTGTTGTTATAACGGATGTTCCAGAAATAATGAGCCTCTCAGTATTTTAATGATACTTTTATCAATTTTCAATCGTTTACACCAAATTTTT